CCTTGAGTTGCAAGCAGTACAAGACACGAATAGCAAGCAGGTGCACTGACGTTCATGCCCACAAGCGAGGCACAACACCCGACCATCCATTACACATACGTTGGAATACGTTGGAAGTCAGTCCCACTAACGCACGGAACAAGGCTGTACCAGCTGCTGTTAGCTATGGATTTGCTCAACACAACGAATAATAATCGTGTGCGTTCTTCCACACCCCTCCACCCTTCTCCTCTCCGTTTGCACTCGAGCTCACGCCACAACAGCGCTGTTGTGCGCGCTCGCGTGTGTATATGTACGTGCGTGTCCGCAAGCACAGCCGCTTGCTTGCTGTGTATGTGTGTCTGCTTGTGTGTTGGCTTCCTTTGCTTCTTGCGTTCGTTTTTTGGAACCGCAAAAAAAAAAGGAGGAGAGAGAAGCAAAGAGAGCCAAAAAGGAGAGGAGGACACAACACAGCCACCCGCACGCACACACACACACACACACACACACACACACACACACGCACACACACACACTGCACGCACTGCAAGGATGGCCACCACGCTGGCGGATCATGTTGGGAGTGAAGGGTAAGTCAAGCCCCCCACTCACCGTGTCCTCTCTATTGCGCGCAACTGTGCTCACAAGTGACGCTCGCTCACTTGTGTGTGTGTGTGTGTGTGTGTGTGTGTGTGTGTGTGTGTGTGTGTGTGTGTGTGTGTGTGTGTGTGTGTGTGTGTGTGTGGCTGGTTATCATGCCCAGGTTGGTGCAGCTGTGTGGCCTTAACAGAGCATGGCGGCACGCGTTGCTCCAAGGCCCTTTCAAACCTGTAAGGCAACTCGGTGCTCTCTGTCTCTCTCTCTCTCTCTCTCTCTCTCTGTCTCTCTCTCTCTCTGTCTCTCTGTCTCTCTCTCTCTCTCTCTCTCTCTCTCTCTCTCTCTCTCTCTCTCTCTCTCTCTCTCTCTCTCTCTCTCTCTCTCTCTCTCTCTCTCTCTCTCTCTCTCTCTGTGCTATCTCAACCACCGACTGCCAACACACCAGGCACCGACTCGAGCGGTTTGGCCAGCTGGACGACAAGACGATGGAAGCCATGCAGGCACTACAGCGGAAAAGGCGTGACAGTCATCACACTGCACCTTCTGGCAGAAACAACAACAGTGGGAGTGGCGACAACGATGACGGTTATGATGCTAGAGAAGGGGCAGCGGAAGGGGGCAGTCTTGGTGTTGGTGTTGTGCGTCACTTGCCAGCGCCGATACAGACCGTCATTGGTGTTGTGCTGCGAGGCATCTCGCTCGTACAGCACATTACGCATGCCATGTGGTCGCTCCTGTTTGCCTTGATCGCCGTCGCTTCCCTTCACTGGATGACTCCTTCACACCCAGACACCAAGCCCTCATAACAACACGTGTGTGTGTGTGTGTGTGTGTGTGTCTGTGTGTCTGTGTGTGTGTGTGTGTGTCTGAGTGTGTGCTGTGTGTGGGGCTTTTGCGTTGTTGCTGCTGCCGTGATGTGATGCTCAGTCCGCGGAAACTTGCCGCTGGCGTTTGTTGTAAATCGTTCGATAAATTTCCGCCAGTTTTGGCGCCAAACTGCTCCCGCCACTTGCAAACGAGAGAACAAGAGCAAAGCAGAGTGTGCATCCGCCAACGCATTTCCCGCCACATCCATCCAGCCATCCACCCATATCGACAGCACACGACGACCACCATCGCTACCACTGCTACCACTGCCGTTGTTCAGAGGCACGGTTGAATCACTGCTACACTCACACGCACGGCCAGACTGCAAGAAGAACCAAGTGCACAGTGCTTCATTGTCGTGGGCGCTCTTCTGTTGCTTCTCGCCAACGCTCGACAAAACGACGTGTCGCAATGGCTCTTGTTCGCGTGACCGATGTGCAAGTGCTGAACAACCCAGCCAAGTTCAGTGAACCATTCTCCTTTGAAATCACCTTTGAGTGCCAAACACAGCTCAAACATGGTAAGCGTGCGCTTGGCATACGTGCTGCCGTACGTGTTTGCATGTGCTGTTGGCGTGCTTCGTACTGTCCACGTGTGTGTGTTGTGTGTCGTCGTGTGTTTGTGTGTGTGTGTGTGTGTGTGTGTGTGTGTGTGTGTGTGTGTGTGTGTGTG